TCTTTTAGTACAAAATAAGAACGTCTAGACAGGGCATCGGACAAACCTTGTTGTTTTCCTGGCCGATAAGTGATAATGAAGTCGAATCTTGACAAAGACATACTCCAACGAGCTTGACGACGATTCAACACGCGTGCTGACATGAAATACTCGAGGTTCTTGTGATCTGTATACACAGTGACTGGATTAGAAGCACCTTCTAGATAATGACGCCATTCTTGAAAAGAATCCACGATTGCAAGAAGTTCTTTATCGTGGATCTCATAATTGATCTCGGCTGCTGAGAATTTTCTTGAATGAAAAGCTATCGGATGAAGTTTGTCATCTGTTCCCATTTGTGATAAAACTGCACCCAAGGCAAAATCCGATGCGTCTGTTTCCATAAAAAATGCCTTGAAAAAGTCAACACGATATAAGACTGGTGCAGAGACAAACAATGTCTTCAAGGCTTCAAATGCTGCTTCCGCTTCTTGATTCCATTGGAATTTATCTTTACTAGTCAAGCGTGTAAGTGGAGCTGCAACTTGTGAGAAGTCTTTGATGAAGATCCGATAGTAATTGGCAAATCCCAAGAAACATTGGACATCTCTTACAGTCTTTGGAATCTTCCAATCCATGATTGTTTGGACTTTCTTAGAATCCATCATAAGACCATCATTTGAAATGATGTATCCTAAAAAGTCAACTTGAGTAGTGTGAAATAAAAACTTTTCTATCTTGGCGTACAATCCTGCATCTCTAAGTTTTTGTAATACTTGACGAACATGTATTTCATGTTCTTCAACATTCTTAGAATAAATCAGGATATCGTCTAGGTAGCAGACGACAAAATTGTCTAAGAATTCACGAAATACATCATTCATGAGATGTTGAAAAGCACCTGGTGCATTCGTGAGTCCAAAAGGCATGACATTATATTCAAAATGCCCGTACCTGGTTCGAAACGCAGTCTTCCATTCATCTCCTTCTTTGATCCGTACTAGATTATATGCTCCTCTTAGATCTATTTTTGTATAGATCTTAGCTTGATTTAACTAGTCAAGGAGTCCTGATATCAAAGGTAATGGATACCTGTTCTTGATTGTGATCTTGTTGAGTCCTTGATAGTCAACACACATTCGTAAAGATCCATCTTTTTTCTTTACGAATAAAATTGGAGCTCCTGTTGGAGATTTTGAATGGCGTATGAAATTCTTCGCTAAATTCTCGTCAATATATGTCTTGAGTTCAGCCAACTCATCTTGCGATAAACTGTAAATTGGTCCAAATGGTGGCTGAGTTCCTTCCTTGAGATCGATTGAACAATCGTATGGGCGATGCTCAGGAAGAATATCTGCATTCTTTTTCTCAAAAACGTCTTGATAATCCTGATATTGACTTGGAATGCCACTTGAAGTCTTTACGCTTTCAGAAATAGGTGCAGCATAAATAGCAAAAGTTGATCCTTCTCTTGCTGCGTGTATAAATGCTTTTGCACCTATAAGTGCGGGTTTTACTATACTAGACTCATGGTTTTTTACTTGATTAATAGAACTGTTACTAATGCTCCGAGGAAAATCAAGTTTACGAGAAATCCAATCTATTCGAGGATTATACTTTTCTAACCATGATAAGCCTAAAATTACTGGATTAGAGGGAGATCTAATTATATTAAAAATTACGCAACTACTATGACCATTTATTACTACATCTACAGGAAGTGTTTCGTGAGTTACATCTCCAGAAGACAACGGACGACCATCTATGACTTCTACGTGTACAGGTTTAGTTTTTTTGTATTAATGATATTCTATGACATCTAGCAAATTCTTCATCTAAAAAACAAGCTGAGGCTCCTGAATCTACCAAGGCAGAGGCTTTGTAATTATTAGGTCCTAAACGCACATCTATTATAAAACAAGGAGATGGTTCTGAGGAGAGGATAGGACCTTCATTAGAAGTTGTACAAGATTCCAGCCGCACGGTCCCTATTGTAGCTGGACGTACTCGTTTTCCAACATACTGTCTTCTTTGAGAGCCGTACTCCTCATTTTGTAGTTACGTCGCTTCTTTGGACAATGTTGAGCAGTGTGCTTAGGTTCTCCACAATATAAGCACAATCCTTCTTGTCGACGACGAGACTTTTCTTGCTCAGTAAGAGGTTTGAAACGTACCGCATCAATTTGCATATCCTCTACTTCTGAAGGTATGTGTTGAGGAGACGTCGGTGTTGCCATTGAATTGTAGTAACGTTGAGGCCTACTTGTGCGACTCTCGGATCGAAATTCAAAAAGTCGATTGTCGCACTTCACAGCAAAGTCAATTGCTTGACTCAATGTTTGAGGATCAGGTAAATTAAGCATCAATTTCTTTACCTCATATTGTAATCCATAGAGAAATTGACTCACAAGTGCGGCATCATCCCACTTGATATCAGTTGCAAGTTGTCGAAATTGCGAAGCATATAATGTTACTGATCGATTGCCTTGTCGCAAAATACGGATCTTGTTGGTTGCAACACGAATTGCATCATGTTCTCCAAACATGGATCGAAACTCCGCCAAAAAAGCCTCCAGATTATCCAATATTGGATCTCGTCGTTCAAGAAAAGATGAAAACCATGACAATGCTGAACCTGAAAGAAGTGTACCAATGAATCTTACTTGTGACCCTGGAGTTGGATAGCTTTGGGGTTGAAGTTCAATCACTAGTTGGACCTGATTGATGAATCCTCGAAACTTGGATCTGGTACCATCAAACTTCTCGGGCAAGGCAACTCTCGGTTCTCTAACACTCGAAGGGTGTTCCATTCTGGGAGAAGGGACATGGTTTGGTGCAGATGTTGAAGCAGCCCCAATCATCTTTATATCTTCACTTCCTACCATTCTTGTTGCTCCTTGTGGTGGTAAATTGAGTTGATGCATCGCAAGCATTAACTCCCTCAATTGTTCTTGCATCTATGCCATTGCACTCTTCATTTCAACAAGCTCTGCCATAGTAGCACTTAGAAAAGAGAAGATGTCTAATAACGCTCTAAACAAATAGAAGAGAGGAATTGATAACAAAGAAAATACTAAGAACAATATCAGTTTAAAAGAGGGTAATCCACAACTTCTAATGCGCTTATGTCTTATCAAGAAAAAGGGGTAATCTACTTTTAATCAAGAAAAGACAAAGCTCTCATATTGTAAGTGTACTCTTGTCAATCTATCAAGGACAAGAACTCGATGAAAGCTAAAGAGTAAGTGAGACTTTTCTCAAAGAAATAGGACAAAATAGAAATATGTATATTAAGAAAGAAATTAGAATGGCTATTGCCAAAATACAAGAAAACTAGAGACCCTTGAAACTAGACTAGAAGCAAGAAAGGAGTTGACAAGAGTGAAGAGGGCTTCACTCTTGCCTCTATATATACTATCTAACTAGAAGCCACATGGCGATGTTCTATAAGACCTCCAATATATGTTGACTTTCTAGGCCACATGCCTTTGCTTACAAGGCAAGTTTTCTATGGATGGACCACGTAGTTAGCTTGTTCTTTAAGCTTCCAACATGTGTGGCACATGGCTAACTTGTTGACCAAGTTTCTAGCCTAAAAGTCAACTATAGACTCCTATAAAGTCAAAGCAGTGTCTACAAAGCTTCTAAGAAGCTTCCCTAGAAGATATTACACAATTAACCTACTTTTATCTACTTTTACATACTTTTATCTATTCATATAGGTAATTATATGTATGTCCGTGACATGGTCATGCAATTTTCAACGTGTAGATTCTATTATAAAGTGCATAACAACTAATCAAGCATGACATGACTATCAATATGTTGTTCTCAATATATATATATACATATATTTTATATGCAAGTGAAGTATGCAATTGTGTATGAGTGTTAGAATCACAAGTGTAGAATCCATTATATATTTGTATAAATGGGCTATTCTGTAGAAACTTGCCAAACTCGCTCGAAGTGCTTCATGTGTACAGAGCTATTGGAAAAATGTAACAGCACAAGCATAAACAGTAAATTGTCATAGTGGTGAGGCTACAATCATGCATGCATTGCTACAATTGGGCTCTTTTTGACATTCCTTGGGACACTTCTGTGTCAGAAATGAAAATGTGAAAGTCTCAAATTTAGGATGTTTTAAAATGTGTTAAAGACATTGTAAAAAAATATGTCAAACAAAAATGTCAAAGATTGTGCTAAAAGATGTGCCAAAAATTATGTATATAGAATTATATTAATGTCAAAAAATGTGTTAGAAATGCTAGTTATTTTGCATATAGACATGTAGATATGAAGCTTGTTTGGGAATGAAGAATGTCAACATTTTAATGTTAATTATATTATAATGAATAATTTTCACTAATTACATAATTGATGGTTTTTTCAACTACACAAACAATCGCATTTAGTGTAGTGCCCAGTAAATGACTTATAAATGCTATAAGTTTTTACTCTTGATGCCATTTTTTATTGAGAGCACAACTATCTATAGTATTCAAATAAGAGGATCATCATAAATATAATTGGTAAATTATTCATCCATAGTAAAAACTTATAACATTTACAAGTCATTTATTGGGCACTACACTAAATGGGATCGTTAGTGTAGTTTTGTAATGATTTAAAATATCAATCCACCAAAGACACCAATTAAATGCTCATACATATTTTGCACACCACTAAAATAGGATAAATCTTTTCAATGAAGTTGGAAGGTGCACAGTAACAAACATTGTGAAGAGAGTATTTCAAAACTTGCCTCAAACGACACTCATCTACTGAACTTACTACCAAAGATCTCTCATAATACATACCAATTCAAAAACCAAAGCTAGAAAATCCAGCATGCAATTTGAGACTACGGTAATGTCTAAAAATAAACTGTACCAAAGTGTAGGAAAGGGCATTGAGTTGCACAAAGATGGACAAAGTATGAGAAAGTTTGAAAAAGTGGAGAATTGAGTTGGGCGGATTGAATACCTTGTAAGCGAGAGATCTAGGGAATTTGATTCTGAAGCATGGTTTCTATAGGGATTTCCTCCACATACATACTCAGGGGTTCATGTTTTTTTTCTGACGTCGCTTCGGGAGAAGGTTTCCAAGAGGAAAGCGGCACAGAGGTTGCTGGAGTTGATAGGAGTTGTAGGCTTCCGGGAGAAGGTGCTGGAGGCGGGGTTTGTGAGAGGAGCTTTGGAGAGCATTGATGCGCGGTTTGTGCGCATTGACATAGCGCTGGGATTAGCTGAGCTTTCCTCTCTCCCCCAGGGATCAGATCAGATCTGCTCAGAGCCGCTGAGCGTGCCCGCGTTGTTGAACCTTCTGGAGCATTCTCGGGAGCATTAGGGGAAGAATGCAGCTGCACAGGTGATTTCACGGCTATATCCTCGTCTTCATGTAGAGCGGCGAAAGATCATTGCAGATCGTTGTGACCTCCTCTTCAATAAAATTGATCCCGGATCGGAGGGTTCCTTGAGGCTCTTGCAGCGATCGCTGCTGATGTGAATGCGAAGCATACTATTCACGAGTGTCACGGCAATGAGTTTCTCATCAAGGGCTTCTCGGTTTCGCAGTCAACTGAGATTCAGCCGGTGAGAGAGATACTTTTCCTAGCAGATCATGTAATCACTTGGGATCATGGCCATTTGCTGATTATGCACATAAATTATTTGTTGCAGGGTCTGATGCTGAAAATCCTGGCGGACATGAGCAGTTCGGATACTGCAACTGTTTCAGAATCTCTGATTCTAGGTCTTTCGCCATATTCTCACTTGAGCATTTTAACTTGGACTTGGATTTTTGGTGTTTACTTAGGTCTTCCTTGATCTCATGGAGCTGAATTGGGGTCTTTGATTCCATTTTTAAATTCAATATTTGAAAAAAAGAAAAGAAAATGAAAAAGAAAAACCTAAGGTGAAAACGAAGGAGATCCCAAAAAATTGGACCCGCAAAAGCGAACCTGGATTGGTTCTAGACTCTAGTGACCCAGGGTGACGGGGCAGCAGCCAGCTTCTCCAGGAAGCTTTGCAGCGGAATATTTAAGAACGGCGGCGGTAATGAAGATGATGTTTAGGTAGCGTGCTGTCTTCTTTGCTCCACATCTTTTCAATCGCAGAGGACCCTTCCAACGAGCTCACCACTCAGAGTTCATTGGAAGACCCATGTATGGTGATCCCGTCACAAGGAGTTGTTTCGATGTAATTGGCTCTTTTGGATAGCTTTGGCTCTCGGTCGAAGTTGTGGATCACTTTGTTAGCGGGTCCAATTTTGGGTGTCTCATTCAACAATCAGGTTCTGTTTTGCGGAAGCCCGGTTTAGGTGGGCGATTGGACAGTATTCAGGGCCGGTGTAACGTTGGGTGCCTGCGCTCACGCTTCAATTGTGAAGTCATGGTAGGGGTTTCTGCTTTTCATGCCAATTCAACATCCTGCATTTCTGTTTATACTCAAGGTTTGTCTGCTTCTAGTGGTGAATTGTCAATCGTTTATTTCGGCTGTTGGTGATTACGTTTCATGGCAGGGCAGAAAGAAAATGTGGACCTTGTAGGAGACGATGGTAGAGGAGATCTGAAAGAAGACATTAAGAAGAAGCATCAAGGCTTCTTCGACAGCATCCTTGCTGCAACGGGGGCTGTAGGGAGGGAGAGGCTCTTTGAACGTCCGAATGCAACTTTCGTCATCTCTGGAACAATCGATCACTACCTTCTCGGTTCCTTGGGTGTCGATGGTGCCGGAGTCTTGGGTCTCCCGCTCTCCGCAGCCGATGCTGCAAAGCTACGTATGGTGAGTAAGCAGGCTCCGCACGGGCGAGGCTTGAACACTGTACTTGACACCACTGTTCGGAGCGCTTGGCAGGTGGACGCCTTCAAGGTAACCTTCCCCAATGATCCAGATTTTCTCACCAGGGTCCAAAGGATTGCTGACAGAGCTGTGAAGGTATTGGAAGGAAATAACGAGGTGCAAGTTGAAGCCAACCTCTACAAGCTGCTTTTCTACGAGGCTGGTGGACATTTCAAGATGCACAGGGATACTGAGAAGGAACCTGGTATGTTTGCGACTCTGATCGTGCAGTTGCCTACGGAAGGGGGTTACGAAGGTGGTGCGCTAGTCGTCAACCAGGAAACATGGTCATGCAAATATAATGCGGGATCCTCGCATATTGGCTGCTTCCAAGAAAATACCTCCACAGCATTTCACTACGCCGCCTTCTTTGCGGATTGTAGGCATACTCTTAGGCGGATTACAGCTGGGACTCGGTTGTGCCTGAGCTTCAATTTGGTTAGAAGAACTAGCAACGGAGGCCCGAAAATGGAGCAGATTTTGCACTCCCCTATGTTTAGGGACGTGGAAGCTGTGTTGCGTCCGTGGTTGGAGGCCATTGACGAGGACGACGCAGAGAAGAGCAGTCATGAGAATTTGAAATTCTTTCGGAACAAACTGGCGATCCCTCTACAGCATAAGTATACACCATCAAACCTGAAATTTTCAAGGTTGAAGGGAGAAGATGTGACCTTGTTCCATGTGCTTGCGAATTGCTTAGATCGACACCTTGACCTTCATTTGTGCCTTCTGACCAAGCACCAAGTGGGCCAGCCTGAAGTCGACAATGGTATTATTATTAGGATAGTGTGGAACGAGGGCCATTCAGCAGCTCGAGGAAAACAAGCGGGGGGATGCATCACCATGGAGTCTATGGAAGCAGAATGGGTGGAGACGTCCGATTGGGTTGACGTGGATGATCACAGACTCCCGATATTTCCTTGGTATCTTGACACTGAGAAGGAGGTCGTCCTGGGAAAGGACGAAAATGGGCTTTTTGTCAATGGAGAGGATCCCGATGAACTGCAATACGAAGGCTACTGGGGAAATGAAGGCCCTACCTTGGAATATTTCTACCACCGAGCAATGATGGTTGTTTGGCCAAAAACCAAAACAGTGCCAACTATCATTGCAGAACGAAGACCCAATAACGCCCCCTTTTCATGGAAGTTTCCAGAAGGTGCAGAGGTTCCGAGTTTGATTAATTTTGTGGAGCGTTTGAAGAAAAACAAGGAGCCATGCGTCCGCTTGGCTGTGAGCCAGTTGTTGGCGCACTGTGAGCGCGCGTATGAGGCGATCTGGCGAAAGCGTGACCGATGTGTGGAATCCGGTTGCACAGACATGTCAAAATGTGTGAGTTCACGCTTATTGAACATGTGTGTTGTGGCGGGAGATTTGGCAGATACGCTGAGGGTCCTTAAACTCTATTCTGAGATCTTCCAAGAGCAGAAATATGATTCCAACGGGCGTCCCTCTCACACAGTTCCGTGGTTCATTGGACTGCGAAGCAAGTGTGTCGCTAAATCCATTGCGGCTGCTGTGCACGCCCATGGTTGGGCAGCATGTGGAGAGGCTGTCTTACGCTTGTTGCAGAAGGATCGTGTTCGTGAAGAGGGCGAATACTATGGGCAGCTTGCTCTCGAGCTTGAGCAGTTGGGACGCCACAGTGAAGCTTTTGTTGTAGCTAATAAGGCACTTAAGTTGGTGACTTCTTCAATGACACCACTTCAAAGCTCTTCAGAGCTTCTCAAGATTTTGGTGAAGCTAATGATGTCTATGTCTACGGAGTGCCGCAAGGAACTAGGGTCAAAACTTCTGCAGTGGTTGGGACCAGCTCCAGAATTCTGTTGGAATCAGCCCTTTGCACACCTGCCAAGGCATCCAACTGTTGAAGCGTTCCTCAGGGGATCTCATGAAAGTTTCACGTACGAAAACGTGCCAGGCTGCTTACCCGAAGCTAGAAAACTTGCCCAAGTTTTTGATGGCCGGTACAAAAATGGGTATTGTGCTATTGGAAGAGAAGGTGTTTCGGGTAGTGGAGCATACTGTGTAATTAAGAAGTCTCGGGATGGATTTCAACATGTTTTGGATTATTGGGAGCGACAGCAAGAGCAGGTGCGTGAGCTGAGGCATGAATTTCGGGGATCAGGACTAGGAGCAAGAGAGGAACGAGAGACATCAGATGGCTCTGAATCTAGTGACACACAAGCGAAAAGAGCTGTACAAAAAACTCCAAAGATCGTGTAAATGAGCAGATTCGTATCCTGGTTCTCTCGCGGCACATTGTTCTAGTGCTTGCTGTTATTGTAGACAGTGCCGACGATTTCCTTACTTCCGAGAAGAAAGCTATGAGCTACGTTGGTTAGTTCCCATGCCCGCCTTAAACAAGCGGTGGTCGTCTGGTGCCCTAACTTATTTCCACTGCCTAGACCCACATTCTCACACGCAAAACAACTGACTGGTGATAGCTTTTCACTGGCGAGCTTGGCTCATGGTTCATCTGGAGGTCATTTCAATATCTGAACTTCATCATGTGGAGATAAATGTAGAACACTGTGGTCACCAGTGGCACCGTCTGTACTAGAATTAATACATCAGCTTGTTGCTGTTACAAAAAATTCATGTCCAGGTGTAGAATTTTAATCTTGTCTTCCACCCACTTTCAACCAGGACAAATGTTGTGTGCAACAAAGCACGAAAGTATAAGAACACATCCTCACAAACATGATCAAAAATAAGAACACAGTATTATTTCCTGTCTTTCAATATTGCACAATGACTATTGTCCCCAGAGGTTTTGATTGCAAAGGACATTGGGGAACCCCGGAGATATGCTCAAAACGACGGAGCAATGTGAAACACTAGCATTAGTGTCCCACAAGTGAGTGAGTTATTTGTCCCAGGTTTGCACTGCTGCAGATTCTTACATGTTTTATTATTTGGGACATAGAAATCTTACATTCTCTAGAGGTGAGAGTAACCATGACGATTTGAATGGTCTACTTTCACCTCTCAAGTGATGTTGCTTGATTTTAGCCCAAACTCCAAACCCTAATCTCACGTATGTCTCTGGAGCAATTGCTCGTGTAAGGGGAGGGACGGGATGAGAACCTGAGGCTCATGCTGGCGGGTATGGGCCACAGGCGGTTATCGAGGGAGAGTTGGGATTCCCATCCGATGTGGACCAATGGGGCAGCCCTCAGAAATCGGGCAACTCGGGGCGCCCTCAATTTGGAGGCGCCCTTAGGCCCGAGGGGAGGCGCCCCTGAGGAAGGTGAAGCGGACCTTCGAGGAGAGCTTGTGCGACTTGGAGACCACGGCCGCCATCGGGAAGTCGTTGGTGGAGTTTCTCAAAAACGTGCAGAAGACGGAGTTCTTCGCCAACGTGAAGCGACATCTCGTGATTATTCTTCTCCTGCGGCACTTGTTTCCGAGGGAGAGTTGCGATTTAGGATTTAGGGCATCGGTCCGGCAGGCTGTCCAGACGGTGGCTGCGCATATTGCGGACGACGGAGACGAGCACGACGGAGCAAGGCGGCGACGACGGACGACGGGAAGGCGGGTATCACCGACTGGGTATCGGGGGTGGAGTACGACGAGCTTCCCGCCCAGGAGAGCAACCCGCAAGACCATCCCGCAATCTGTTGCCACGGAATACTGAGATCCGTGGACTGATCGTGCCCCCCTACCGGCGGCCACGTGAGCGCTGTCGCATGGCGGAGGGCGACCAGGGACGGCGCGAGGACGCCAAACTTCCAAAGTATGGCGGGCTCCTGTCATTTTCAGTGTGCAGGAAAAAGTGGTCTGATTGGGCTATCTTCAGCCACATTCATTGCCATCATTCGCTGCGGCTATCATAACCCGCAGACAACTGCAGTTTCTGTTTACTTTTTATCTTTTACTCTTGGACAGGAAATTGGCATGTATTTACTCTTGCACAGGAAATTGGCATGTATTTACTCTTGCACAGGAAATTGGCATGTATTTACTCATATACGTCTATTGTGATTTTCTTTCTTCACATTTGCATCAGGCACATGAATGTCAAAATTTGACTCAGTGTTCCTTTCCAAGCAAGTCTGTCGCAATTGCTACACTAATAATGTTCATTAGTGTTATGGGACCAATAGTGTAATTACACCTATGGCATGACTTTCACTAAATGCCAATTTGTTTACAATTAGTGTTTAACCAAGTTACAATTTGGCTTTGACATGGGGCAAGATTGAGGTGACTTGCTAACACTAAATGTCAACAGATTACTTTACTAACACTGAATGTCAACACGTTAACATGCAACAACAATTAACAATCATAGAAACTAACAATTAGTGTTTGAATTGACATTTAATGTTGTTACATTAGTAGGATAATTGATATTTAGTGTTTGGGTTTATAAATAGTATTGTGAATACTAATGAACATTATTAGTGTAATTGATTGGCATTAATTTCTTTGTTTCGTACAGTACTCCATATTATATTTTATACGGTAGTCCACATTATATTTTGTGTTTCATGTTACTTATTTATTAATATTGTACATGGATGTATATTTAAAGCTGTGTTTTGCAGATATTCCACCCCTGAATTTCTTCAAAAATGTCAACAATATAGCTATGTACATTCATTTTTCTTCACTATTGATATTGCTAGTTACAAGACACCTCAATGATTTTGGCTTCACCTCGCTTCTTAAAGTGTTTAGGTAGTTTTCATTGCAATGTAAGCATATAAGGTTTGCATTTTTTGGTTCAAAGATTTTGTCTTAAATGATTTTTATAATCTTCCCACTACAATAAACACTACATATATGCCACTTTTTGACACTGGCAGTATGAGAGTGTTTCTTTAGGAAAATGCATACGACATTTAGGGATTCAATGAAATTTCATCATAACATATAATAATACAATATTTGTGCAAAAAAATATTGTCATTGATGTGTGGGGAAGTCAAAGGAAAGCTTTTCACAGTATCATACTCATCGGTCTAGTTTGACATAGGATTTTTGAAGTAAATATTTATTTCTTACAGAGTGGTTTGGACAGAATGCATACCATAAATCTAGATTTTGCATGGGTATTTTCTATATATTACATAGACATTAGAACCGTAGGATCTCAGTAACAATGCATTGAGAAACATATTCATCAAATGTTATCAACTTTGACCATACAGATAGAAAGATTATACAGCTTGAAGTAAAGAAAGTGGTTCACTTTCATCCCTGAGTTGAGTGGATCACCACAATTTCACTTCACTTCATATTGTATTTTTGCACTACACATGGTCTATATGTTTTACCGTTGTATTGAGCATGACGTTAGTTCCTTATATACAATTGTTGAAGGTAGAAAATAAACAACTAGCATATTCAAAAATTAGTGCAAGGAGTAGAGGTTATTAAATTGTCAATTTTTGTTATAAGTTTAATATGTTTTAGATGGAAAACCCAAACGGTGTCGTGAGAGAGAGCGTTGCCCCAAGAAAACACCGGGTTTCTGACTGCAACTAATTAGCCACAAAAAGTTAGATGGTACTAATTTCTATTTTTAGTAAATTTACATAATTAGATTCTGCCTAAATGTGGATTAGTACAAGTTAGAATATTTATCCAAGCCTAAACATCTTCAAGATTCTATAAAATTTCTCCATATTATATAAATACATCTATTTTTAGTAATCAGCTAATTATAGAATTTTCCTAAGTTTAGACTCTAGCTAGAATTAGCAAAAATTCTATAATTAGAAAGCTGCAACAGCTCACAATTTTACTAAACACAGTTTCATCCAAACTTCATCCAAAGTTAGAATATGTCTAAAAATAGGATTACATCCAAACTTTAGTTTCAATAAAAATCTTATTTTAATCTGAATTTAGATTTTCATCCAAATTTAGATTTTCATCCAATTCAGATGGATGAAACTGATAAGAAACGACAAAATGGAAAACTGAGAGTTAATAGCTTGCTGCCACTTACTAATTTTAGAAATTCAGTACCTAAATTTAGCTATTGGGACCTGGATGTATTTCATGAAGTTTTGATCGGACATAAAAACTCATTTTTTAAAATCCACAATTTTCAAAGATAGCATGGTTTCATCCAAACTTCATCCATGATTAACAAAAGACTAAAAATAGATCTACATCTGAATCTAAGTTTTACTCAAATTCAAATTTTATCTAATTTAGAAAATTTGCTAAATTTAGAAATTTCATCCAAATATAGATCTTCATCCAATTCAGCTGGATGAAACTGATAAGACTTTAAAAAAACGAAAAAAAATTGAAACTTAATAACTCGCTGTCACTTACTAAAATCAGATGTCAGCACCTACTTTTAGAAAGTCAGCATCTATATTTAGAAAGTCAGTACCTAAATTTAGAAATATCAGTACCTAAATTCAGCAATTGCCTATTTAACACATCTCAAGAAACTTAGTTGAACATTGAAACTTGGTTTCTAGAATTCATATTATACAAATATCATGTGAAGAAAATAAACTCATAAAAAACACTTTGAAAAAAAATATATACCAGTGTCTCAACTTATGGGAATTAGCACAAAGCAAGGATTTATTTAGAATACACAAAAAGTTAGTACATATTCACTAGTATACAAAGTAAGAGTTAAAACACAATAAGCGGGAAGAAAAATTCAAAAGAGTTAGTATTCAACACAATAAGGTAAATGCTTGTGCAATTCCAACATATGACAGAATCTCACAACTCATGAAAATTATACAAATTAAATAGAGAGTCTCAACACATGAGTGTTCTCCATAAGAAATCTTCAACAAAACAAAGCTTTACTAACACTTGAAAACATCAAGAGAAAACTACAAAGGAATGAGAGTATTATCAACAAAGAAGGAATGCCCAACACTTCCTTTACTTCACTATATATACTCTAAGTTCTTCATCTAAAAACATCCATTCAAACTATTTTCCATTCTTTTTCTATCCGAAAAGCATCTTCATCCAAGCTAAGTTTTTTAACATTTTGAAGAATTTGGCGGCTTTTGACTCCACTTTCTTCTTCACCTTTATTTTTCCACCAATCTCTCTTCTTCTAATTCCCAATTTGTCAACATTCAACAAATTTGTCAAATAGTCAACATTGTCGTAATTGTCAACATTTGCAACGTTAGTCAAAGTTTGCCAACGTTGTCGTGTTGTAACACGAGTATACTGTGAAAATATAAAGAAAGGGGACTTTTATTAATGTTTAGTTACCTCGAATATTGGGAGCAACAACCAACTCCAATACAAATACTGAATGGTCAGGTTCAGTCACCCCGTTGCAGTCAACCGAGGGATACTGAAATGCTCCGTTCGATTCCAATAACGGGAGTCAGCAGGAAGGAAAAGGACCAATTCACACGACGGGTGAGCTTGGTTCGAAGAGCCAATTGGATCCAATTTCGAGAATCCGATCCGGGTCCTCTTACCCAATACGAGACCTGCATTGGTCGGGCAACTCAATGCAGTCTAATTACGGAAAAATCCAGGTCTTACTACGGGCCTCAGCCAGTCTGACTCGAAGGACCAATTTGATCCAATTACAGGAACATCCAGGTTACTACGGGCATCTTATCCAATATGAGACTTGAATTGGTCGGGCGACTCAATGTGGACCC